AGCTCTTCAACATAGGCAGGGAGCGGTTGCCCATTGATCAAAGGTTCCTTGACCACACGAGCGATCGGGGCCATGAGCCCAAAGCCGTCCTCGCACTTGAAGTATCGCTTGCCTTGCCAATGACCGTCACAATTGCCCATGGGTAAATCCAGTTCGACGCCAACCCAAACTCCCGACCCAGACTGCAAGGGGCCAATGTAGCGCACGACACCGCTTTGTCGGCCATTCAAGATGATGCGGTCATCGATGCGCAAAGCCTCAGACTCGCCAGCCGTGGCATTGGGGCCCAAGCTGTTGCGTTTGCTACCCCCCGGGCGACCAGTATGCAGACGCTCAACTGCGGGCGACCATTGTGGAAGCTCTGAATGACTTCGAGCTCGCATCGAAGCGTCGTATGAGTACCGGCGCGCCTGTCGTTCGCCCAGATCGTAGATGTAGCGCTTGCCCGTGTTCCCATCGGCGGTGCTGGGTCGTGGAAGCTCACTCAAGCCATCGCCGCTCTCGGCATGAAAAGCCGCCTTGACAAGTGCGTTATTGCCATTGCCGGACGCCAAGTCAGACTTGCCGAGCAGCCGTCGATGCCGGTACGGAACGCCGGACAGCGACTCGCTCCCCTGGGACTGTGCACGTCGCCGCATCATTCCAGCTTCTTGACTTGCCGATCCACGCTGGGGCCACGCCTCGAGTCGAAGCGCCAACAATGCCAGCACAAGCCCCAGTCACCACACTCACCGCAGTACCGCAGTCAATCGCTGCCGTCGCTGCCACAGCGAGTTGGGGCGTCGCGCTAGAGCGCGTCTTTGACCGGTTGCGAGGGCGAAGAAATGGGTAGGGTGTCTTCCTTATCGTGGACACTAAAAAGTACATGCTTGTAACAACTACAAATTTATCTGCAACAACTGCCCATTTTTATACGTGACTGTCTGTTGAACAACAGCGTAAACTCTTCATTTTACGACGTTTATCTCCAGCTGGGCGCACGCTGTGGCGCCAGCGCCATTCCATTTGCACGATGAGGCGTGGCAGGCTATTTATTGGGTCGGAGTTGGGGTGGCGACTGGAGTAAGAGGGATGCCAACCCATGATGGTGGCTGAGGCCAAACTGAGCGCGGTAAGGGAAAAAAAGATGCATGCTGTGAAGGCGCAAGATCAATTGTCCGGGCCTTTTCTGCCTGGCGTGGGTTGACTGGATTGACATTTGCATGGCACGCACGATTAGATTGTGCGATAGCTTGGGAAGAGGGAACAAGAAACCGCAGCCGGGACTTCAGAAAAGGGCCCCGGGCGTTTCGCGAAGCGAAAACTGGTGGGAGAGGAGAAGGGGGACACGACCAGAAGACGAGAGTCGAGACTGGAACAAGCGCAAGCGTTGGTTGACGCGACGTGCACAGACCATCGCAGGCATTTGTGAGCTTATCAAGGACCTCAGGGAAAAAAATCAAGAAACAACCACAAACCAAAAGAAAAAAAAAATAAGCATGCATCTGTGCTGAGAGGAAGCGTGGGCCCGGCTACACAAGGACCAGGCGGATGTGGCGTGGCGTAGAATGACCGCAGCAATATTCACCAACATCGCCGTCGTTCCTTGATTAGGCTAGTCACGGGTTGGCACGAGTTTACGTAGAGGCCTTGATACGGCGACGAGCATCGGACTTGACAGCGGTGGAGGTCGCGGTGGCTGCTGCGGCCGAGCTGCTGGAAGCAGCCTTGTCGTCCCTGCCAGCCTTTGCACCCTTGCCCTTGCCCTTGGAGTAGGCCTTGGTGTAAAAGAGGGAGAAGAGAGAAATCATCAAGATCATGTATAGGAGGTTGGCCTGGGAGCGCACGCCACGAGTGAAAAGGTGAGCGACCAGGTGGCGTACATAAGTCGCTTAGCACAAGGTGATGCGAGTGGGCGCGGTGTTACTCTTCCGTGTTAACCACCTCGGGAGCAGAACACGGGTCAGAAGAACAAGAGCCACAAACGTACCCAGCCCATCCACTCATAAAAGTTGCACCGTCCAGCGCGAGTTTCAACGAGGGCCATGGAGGTGGAACCAAAAATGACGAAGAATTGGGTCAGTTGAACCTGCGTCAGATAGCGCTTCCACCACAGGTGGGGGCGCATGGCGGGGATGGCAGCCAACGCATAGTAGGTGTCTATCCCAGGCATGCCACAAGCATTACGACGTGAGGCAGATCCTAGCGCGGTCTGTGGTCCAAGACCTAGGGAAGAGACCTACACATGATGATGTGAACACCCGAGTTGATGGCAGCAGAGATGGTCGAGGTGCCTCCGGGAACCCAGCGCACACCCATCCACCAAAGGTTGAACATGGTCGAATGGTGGAACCTGCAGCATGGGAGCAAAGGTATCGATGATGAAGAGTAAGCGAGAACCATTGGTCTAAACACCCAAGAAGACGAGACTTGGTCTTCCAATAGTGATGGAAAAATGGGACATACAGGTGCAGAAAGGAGATTTGCTCGTCTTTCTTGCGAAGCACAAAGAAGACCTGTGTACACGGGCATCAAATGCATGAGCCATCATTCGCATGAGAACAGACACCCCCCCCCCAAAAAAAAAAAGAGAGAGAGAGAAGCCGTGCAGGAAGTTGGCCGAGGCGCTGTGTGCTGCGAAGACAGACCGTATCGAGGAATTCGATGCACTTGCTAAAGTAGTACCACCAGATGGCGACGGCAATCTGCGGCAGCGAGATGGATGCGACAGCCAAGTGGTGAGCGGCGCCGCGAAAGGCCAAAATCAACACGACGAGGAGATGGGCCGGCTTCTTACGCGCTTCGAGTTCTTGTTGTTGGGGTCAGTGTTGACGCCATTGCACTTGAAACTCATGTTCTCCTTGATGAAGGAATCAACGAGCTGGGGGGAAGGAAAGGGGAGCGGCGAAGCGATGTGAATGGGATGCGATCTGTGCATCTGATTGGCGGTGGCGTGCAACCGGGGCGCACCTCAAAACAGATCCAGGCGTTCAGGGCCACAAGAACTGCATTGTAAACGAGAATCGGGCCACGCAGCTCAAAGGGCTTGCGGTCTTAAGTGCGGAAAATTGACCAGCGTGAAAAAAAATAAGAGTGAAACGTGCAATGCGCATCGAGTGGGAAGGAGCAGCCATAAACCTCACTCACTCTTCATGACAATGCGCCCGATGAAGACAAAAGCCAGGTACAAAACAGTCAGAGCCATGGTGGGCACGGGGGAGGACATCAAGAACCAGTCCTGGACTCGGGGGTCTGCACGCGCAGTCGAGCAGCAAAGGTTGCGCTATGTCAGAAGCAAACAGGGACTGCAAGCACGACGCACTGCAAAGAGGTCTTGTGCACAAAGACACGCCAAGGCGTGACAGCACTTTGGCCGATGGCCCACCTACCGGCCTGCGACTCCATCCAGGACCACCACTGCACAAGGCTGTCTTGAATTCCGAGGTCGGCCATGATCGCGGTGCGAGAAGCTAAAAAAAGGGTGGGTGATTCAAAGCAGAATTTCGTAGTGAGCTAGGACGCTGCAGCACAGGATCACGCTTGACTTTGATCACGGCGGTGGCAACGCCAAGGTCTGGTGAAGGCACGGGCGCAACAGAAAGTGTGATATCGGGGCTTTGCACACCCTGTCCCAAAACCCATCATTTCAAGGGCGGCTCGAAAATGGTGTTCCCTGGCAAGAGACATGGCATTTTTTCTCAGACAACAAGGTCATGAAAGGAAAGCTAAGATACTTTAAAGCCCCATTCTCGCAAACCCCGGTCATCTGCCTGTTGTGACCGTCCGCCATCATGCGCGGTGCTGCCACTACCTCTGCTGGAGCATGCGATCGCAATCTTGTCTTTCTCCAACACTTTCCACCATGCATTCACGGTACAACTCGAGGATGAACGCGTCGTGTATCATCCAGCAGAGCATGGCACTCCACCGCCGCACCCGAGTGTCCAACCCAGTTGGCATCGGGCTGTCGCGCTGCCATTTTCTCTCAACTGTCAACTTACCACGAGGTAAAAATAAAAAATAAAATAAAAAAAGACAAAATGCAAGAGAGAGAGAGAGGGGGGGGGGGCGGGGTCGTATTGAAGGGTCACACGTGGTAGATACCTGACAAGGGCTAATAACGTTAACTTTTGCAGATGGTGAGAATGATGAGATGGTGTGGTTGTACAAAAAAGAAAATGTGTGAGTCAGTGTGTGTTGTGCCTGTGCCGTTGAACGCTCCGCTCGGTCTCGGTGTCGGCCAAAGACCCAAAGATCGCGTCCTGCCCCGTGTCGAGCAGTCCTCTTCACAGCCCCACCATCTCACTCGTCAACCCCGGCTGCCGCTCCCACGTACCACCGTGCACTCGGCTGCCGTTGAAAGTTTCAGCCCTTTCGAAATTACACACACACGTTCATGCACGTGTGTGTCTTCTCCACACACACACTCTCTCTATTAAATTTTTCAATAATATTTGCCGAGTTTTCGGCCTATTTTCATCTAATTTTTGTTGAGCCAAGTGTTCGATGGCTCTCGAGTTGTTGTCGTTGTCGTGTATGGAGATGCCTTTGAAATGCACGCTGTCATGCCATCGACTCTACTGCATACCCACACACTCGAGCTGCGTCTTGTCCAATAATGACGGGGCTCATAATCGCAGCTTCAATGTTTGACTCGAACGCTGAAAAAGCCATGTTGTCTAAGTTATGTGGTATAAATACTGCTCATGTCGCGGTTTGGCTTTGAAATTTGATAAAATGCCAGTCTCAACCCGAACAATCCGGCTATGCCTCTCGCTTGTCTGAAACACGCCGACTGTAGTATCGAGCAACTCAACCTTTCTCAACCAGTGCTATTGTGCACCAGAGACAATGCCAGAGCCATCTCCCAATTCTATCGTCTAAGTGGTTGGAAACGACCACAAGGCCAACCCTCGGGTGCAAATGATCAAGAAAGGGTCGATTGATACGGAGAGGCTGTTGATAACAGTCTATGCGGAGGGTTCTTCGGAGGACTGTTCGGCGTAATGGGCGAGCGCGGAGCGCCATTCCTGCTGCCGCTGTGATACATAGGGGTTGTGCTCTAGCACAGAGGGGACACGAGAAGAGCGATAGATCAGGCACCCGCCACGCCAGCGGAGAACACACAGCACCAACGTACCACTCATGAGAAGTCGAGAGAGTAGAAGCTGAGCTGGGGCGCCCATGCTCGCCATGCGGCCCACAAGCGTGCCAAGAACCTTGATGCTAAACTCTCCGGCGTACATGGCCAGCTCGGGCGTTGCCAAATCCCGCTCCACGTCCCGGTTATGCGCAAACGCCTCGTCTCGAAACAAGGAAAGCACTATGCAGGCCCAGGCTGCCGTTAGTAACCGAGGTGCTGCAAGGCGCACGCCTGCCAGCTGGTAGGTTAGATGGCAGTGGAGCAAGCGACAACATACTCGAGCCATCCTCAAGCTGCAAGCTTGTCTGAACCGTGAGCGTCTCCGGGTCGTACTGGCCACGCACATCTCGAATTTGCGATAGCTCCACCGAGGCCTGGAGCCGCGGCAATTCCAGCGTTGCCCGCCCATCGCGTTGGCCCAGTCGGAGAACGGTCCCCTGGCCGTCAAACACAACGGGCAGTGTTCCCATGCCAAACCCCAGCTGCCAGGGATCGGTGTGTATCGCATTCATCTCGCCATGCATGACTGAGGCTGCACCGAGCTGCATCAGCGTGTCATGTAGCACATCTCGGCCCATGGTGCCCACCAGCGCTACGGGCAACAAATAACACGCGTCACGCGTCAGTCGAGGTATGAAGGAGCAGTCGTCGGTGCTGGGTCAGCAGCCGGTCCAAAGCGTTCAGCCGGTTTGCACGTACCAAAGTCCACAATTTCAATGGGCGACACCTGGTCATCATAAGGGCCACCCATTTGACACACTACAAAGCGATTGGCATGGGGGTGTAGCTCTTCTGCCCCTACGCCAAAGTGCTGCACAGTGCCTACAAACATGTGCTGGTCCAGCAGGTCCATGCGCATCTGGTCGTTGTCGAAAACTTCACTGCACATGCAACAGCCGGCCACGTGCGCATCATGAGCACCTTTCAGCTTGGTATGCGCAAGTCGGACAGAGAACCCAACCTGACAGGCGAGACTGGCCATACCTGATGGCGTGCTGGGACTCCTGCGTCAAGGCCTGCTCGTCAAAGTGGATGTGTCGCCGCTGCCGCGCCCAGCCCGGCGCCACGCTCTGCACGACGCCCAGAGCCCCGCTCGGCCCCAAGCTGGTGCGCCGCAATAACCTCATACACATGGTAGACATTGCCATTCTTGTATGTACAACAAGGCCAGCCACCTCATCCACTGCCACTCTTCTCCTCGTTCACTCGCTCCCTAAACCACCTCACATACACCAGTACCGTGACCAACACGCCGCACCAGCACTCAGACGAAAAAAAAGAAAAAAAAAAAAAAAAAAAAAAAAAAAAGAAAGAGACAGAAGCGAGTGAATCTGACAAAATGTATTTTACATTTGATCGGTTTGATGTCTGCTTGTATGAACGAGTCACGTCGGCAGTTGCGGTCACTCGCATGGCAGTCAAGTCCGACGTTTCGTGTCATGTTGCGACTACGTCGAAACCACCCCCCCCCCCCCCCCCCCCGCCCCCTTTTCTTTTTTGGGTGAGTTGAAAGGGGCTGACTGCCACGAAAGCTCGCAGTCTTATTGGGCACGGTGGAAATACACCCAACCCTGCCTACTGGCACGCGTCATCAACTTGATGACCATGTGGAAGTTTCAAAGTCACAATCGCCATTCAGGGCCTCAAACCACAAAGCGGCTAGCTGAATGAGGCTCCCTATACGCCAGCTTACAGCTTGTACACTCGAATGCAGACTCAAGAGTTGGCAGGAATCAATTGTCGCTTGTTCTCTCGTCGTGTAGGCTCGGGCGTTTGGGTTAGCCCATCCAAAGGGCGCAATCATGTTGGGCGTCCACCCCTTCAAAGTAAGGGACTAAATCCGCAACACTAGCGGGCTACGATGATCAGAATTTGCAGACCGAATGCACATCACATTCAATACTATGATACAGCGGGTCGAGGTCATGACTTTCAGCTCTTGACAACGTGGGGACCACACCCACATGGTGGCTGTCATACCATGGCCTTTTGACGCCAGTCGTCTTGACCGTACTCTCGGACTCCGGGGGGAAAATGAGGAAACACCGCTCCATACCGGTGCCCATGTGCAAGGCTTGGCACTCAAAACACCACACCATCGGTGACATCGCACAACTCAAACCTCCAAAGCTTGAATTCCCTGTGCGGTGTTTCTGGTGATGTCATGCTCTGCTTTTGTACATTCCATGCACTTTTACTTTTACTTACAGCGGCTGTTCTATTTTTCAATTTCGGCCGGAAGCCTTGCCCTGCTTCACCTCATCAGTGGTGCTCTTCATCCACCCTGTCCCACATTGGTCGCCACTGTCCCCATTGTTGGTCTGAGGGCTTCTAAAGTCGACGATCAGAACTGTGCACGCAAAGGAATCAGCATGTCCACTCGCGCCAAGATCAGCCGCCGCGAGTTATGCCCCATCTGCCTAGAGCAGCTGGCAGCGGGGGGCTACCAGTACCGCACAGGACAAGTAGTGCGGTTGCACTCGTGTGGGCATTGTTTTCATCGCAGCTGCATCGACAGCTGGCTGCAACAGGCGACTACCTGCCCTACATGTCGAGTTGAACACCCAGAGCTGCCCATCGATTGTATCTATCTCGGTGTAGTCTCTCTCGGGCGGACTGAAACTCCTCCACTTGGTCAGCTCTCCGACGACGTGGCCAAATACGTGCATACGGCCACACAATCCATCGAGTACAGGTCTGTGAGCATGCCACTCTCACTTTGTTTTCTGATGTGCTCAAGCCCGAGAACAACTCAGTGGCGGGTGCGAATGCCTCGCTTCGACTCAAATGATATGTCTTTCGCGCCCCCTGTTTGGTAGTCGGGAGTGTAAGCAAATGCTCCGCTTGCGAAGCTCTTGTGTCGAAATCCTGGCTTCTCCAAGCGCGGTGGACAAGGCCAGCGACAAGTCATCAAGCCCTCTTTTGCTCACGGTTCGGCTTCACAATATTGCTGTGAGTTGAATTGTTCAGTAAAAGGCAAGGGTCTTTCGTACGATGACGGAAGAACGCTGATGTTGCCTGACACATGCTCCCGATTTTTTTCGGGTTATTTGCGGTCACATTCGTAACTTCTGTGCGTGCTCGCTTCCATTTGTAGAGCTTCCATTCTCTTCATCAGGCGGTCGTCTTGGTGGAACGAGCCAAGAGTCACAGCCCCAAGGGCCTGCTGCATCATATTTTGCAGTTTGACACGGATATACAGGCTTCCCACTGCATTGACCGTCTCCACGATGCCAGCACCGCAGCCCTGAAGCGGATACGGCAGCATTCTGCTGCCGAATCAACTACTGCCACGTCACCGCGCGCTGCCTCTCGCAATTGCACTGATGCATCCACCAATTCCAAAGCTTCCAATACAGCTTCAACATCTAGCCCCATTCAAAGTTCGTCGTCGCAAAGAGGCGCTGCAATTGATTGAGCGCACGATGGTTGCATCTTGCGGACAAGACACTGTGCTTCTCTGACCCTCGTTCTGCCCGACGTCGTCGCCTCTACCAGATTAAAAGCTTCCACTGTGCAAAGTAGTCGCTCCCTTCAACGAGTGGCTCCTCACACTCATATTGTATGTTCGTGCCCGTGCCACTCGTGCCTCTTTTGAGCCTTGGTCTCTCGCCAACATCTTATCTTATTACATGTGGTACATTTTTGCTTTCCCTTGTTGATATGAGACGTTCCTCTCTCTCGGTGCTGACAATTGACACGAGAATGCTGACATTTGAAACGACACTAAAAATTTCCAATATTGGCACAAGTGCGATTTCAGTCTGACTTTGGAACGCTACTTTGAGGGTTATTGAAGAAAATAAACGCAGCCAAAAGGCGACAAGTGGAATATTTAAGGAGAAAGTTGTAGAAAAGATAGGAGTTGTGGCAGATTTCTTCCTCTTCCCGCAGCTTGAGCCGAGCGGGTGCTGGGTGCGACCGAGTTTGGACGGTGCGCGCGCGGACGTGACTGGCAGGCACGGCCATTTGAAGGCAGATGTCAGGAAGAGGGGTGGGTGTCGGTATTGGGATTCATTTTTCATCATTTTTATTTCGGTGCTCTCATCGTGTGAGCTGGTACGTTGCGTGATCTGCCAGCCCAGGCTCGCAAATTGCCACCATGCCGCTGCCCCGTCGGAAAAACTGGTTCTTCGAGCTGTTTGGTGTGATCGAGCCGGCCTATGGCAACGTCCGGGGGCTTTTTGAGGTTTGTCGAGATTCAAGGTTGCTACCAAGTGGGGCTACTGTCTCAACCCCAACCGGTTCGTCGCGGCGTTGTTTCAGATGACAGAGCGGAATGGACTTGTTAGCTTGAAGAGCTTGAGTAATGGCCGAAGCTACCAGGCGGGTGCCTTTTCAACTCCTTCTCTGCGCTCTCTTCGCCAAAAAAGTACGTCGTTGTCCTTTGCCTTGTGCAAAGGCAGATGCCAGCTGTTGCGGGAACCATCAGCGTTGCGGGCACAATGCAGCATTGTCTGTCATCGACCCCCTTCACTGATCCCGTGCCCTGCCCTGGCTGTCGCAATCAACCTTGGGCAGATGCCGCCCTGCTTAGCACTGAACGCATGGTTACCATCAAGCATGTAGTCGTTGGTGATATTCTGCAACACCATGCGGAACCGCAGTACAAGCATGCAACGTTCCAGGTGCGCCCCCCCGTACTTATGGGCCTGCCTGCCCAACAGACCTGTGGCGCAGAGAGTCACGATGGTGCTTTGGAGAATTAGGCAGCATCGCAGTTCAACTGTCTCGAATTTTCCCACCCCGAGGCTCTTCCTGAACGTGGCGTTACCAGTACGAAGCCTTGCTGCATACAACTCCCATTATAGACTTTTGTGTTGTTTCCTCCAAGTCACATGGCCCTTCATTTTTTTTGGAGACCCCATCTCAGTCTGAGGATGGATTATGTGGGGTCGTGGTGCATGCGCTTAGGTAACAGCGGTTTCGGCTCATTTTGTTGTTGTTGGCTCTTTCTGCGTTCCGTGTCTGCGAAACAACAGTCTATGAGTCAGACTTTACACAAGGGCCAGCCTGCAGCATCGCGTGCGGTCCCGCCACCGTTTATCGGTACGCGCCCTGTTCTAGCGTTGGCCGCCCCTTCGAAACAACTTGCTCACCTTGCTTTCGAACTGAATACCTGTTACCTGAACACTCAACTCAGAAATTATTTCGTGCCCATGCCAAATGGTGAGCTGGGACAAACCCGAGACAATCAAATCAACAACCTGGATGATGCTCTTGCTGCGCTTGGCAGCGCAAGGTACTGTTCCATCACCCGACGCCCATGGTCATGCCCATCCACATGAACCTGTTCCTCGCACCATCTTGTTCATGTTCTTCCTCTGCTGGCTTGCAATTACAAAATTGCCCCGCCCGTGCCTTGACTTGATGCGCCACGGTGTGATCCTTGATGTTTGCAATGACATCACATGGTCTCATAGCGATCCATATGTGACGATTCGCAACGGCTACACACATGCCACCAACAAGAGCCTGGCCCGGTCTGTGCCTGTTGCTTTAGCTCCGACTTGGCTCAGCTGACCAGTGGCTGCGAGCGTCGATGCACTCACGCTATTGCTTTGCGGGCACACCGACGTAGCCTCAACGCCGATCACACGCCAGCGAGTCTGGAACAGGCGATGGAGGAGCTTAAGATTGGTGTGCAAGCCGACACGCAGGTACGGTCGTCACTTATTTGAATGCATGCCCCATCCACTGGAGCCAATAGAATCAGCTTCAGCTTAAAGATCCATCGAGACAGGCCACAGGCCTTTGCGGCTAGAGGGCTCACCATTGTCATGCGCCCTGCCACCGGAAGGTTGTGTTCAAGGATCGCAACACCACTCTTGATGATCCCGACCAAATCGTGACTCAGTGCTTCTGTTCTGCGCTGAGGTGTGACAAACGCGATGAACGCACACTTTTGGTTTGCATACAGACCCAAGCCGTCTTGTACTGGCCTATTGCCTCTCACGTCCGCAATTTCTTCTCTTGCCGCTGATCGGACTGCTGGTGGTTGCGGGCGGCGGGGCTTATTCAACGGTCGTGCGAAATAGCTGCGGCTACACCTATGGCTCGCTCGATGCCTGGTCTAACGTGGCGTGTGCCGTTTTGAATGGTAAGCTGTCCTGCACGCGTCTCATCCTGCAGCTTCTCACTGCATCGCGGCAGTCATCCATGTCAACATGTGTCTCAAGAGGTGTGCTTGCAACATATCTCGCCTCTTAGCCTCGTACGAATGCACGCTGTGGGCAGCGCTGGCCAATGCTGACCGTCATGCACGGGCAGATGGTGCTAACAAGGTGTGAGCGTCTTGTTTTGTCTCAGCAATTTGATACGCATTTCTGCTCGTGCCTCGATCGGGAGGATTGCTTCTTGATGATGCTTGGTCATAGAAGGTAATAACGTAGAGGTATGCTCTTTGGGGCGCCCTTCTTCTAGGTGGTGCTCACCATGATCGGAGGCGGGGTGTTTCGTAATCGAGATGAATGGATTGCCGATGCCATTGGTCGCGCCGCTGCCAAGCTTCGCTACTCGGGACTCGAGGTAAGAGAGCTGGCCTGCGGGTTTGTCCCAATTCTCGATTCCCGAGCCAACCTGGTCTCCTGTTCTCAACATGTTGTCGACTTGACTTGGTGCACATGCACCTTCAGATTCATGTTGGTCATTATCGTCGCATCAACGAGGACATGGCACGCCGGATTGACAAGTGCTTTGCCGATTGTCTTTCAGCTGAGCCTGCAGCTCGGCAGGCGTCTACATGAATCGTAGCAACTGTCGGGGAGCATCAATGATGTCGTGCCAGGTGTCCGTCATGTCACAAACGCACAGTTAGAAATTCCAATTTTCAATTGTAAGCTTGTGACTCATGCTGATGTTGTCACCACCGGCCAAGACAAGCCAACGTATCAGAGCACGTCGTAGCCCTTGGGGTGCTTATCAAGGCGGGGTGCACCACTAGAAAAGATTGCCGAGAAGCGAGGGTGCGCCGTTGCAATCACATTGCTTAGATCGGTCACAGCAGACGCCGTATTTGTCGGGCCCTTCCCCAGGTTGGTCCGGGGCCGGGATCAATTTTCCATAGGTAAAATGCGCAGCTTCTTCCTTGGTGGCCTTCTCAATGGCTGCCAAGATGTTGATGATGACCGGATCAGTGGGCTGCGTGTTGTTGGTCGTCAAAGGATACGCCTCTGATGGGTCCACCTGTTTTTGAAGACACCATACCGAGTGGTTGGCGGATGCAGGGCGAGGGCAAGCTTAGCGACCATTCTCATGCAAACCAAGCCAGAAAATAGGGACACACCTCCACGTTGAAGAGAAGGGGCGGGTTATAGGTCTTGGTGTGGCAATCAGGCTGATTGCAGCCACCCAGTCCAGGTGCTGTACGGAAGTGTGCTTTCCAAGGGCCATAGCGCATGGCCATGGGGCCTGACTGATCACGATAAAAGAACAGCGTCTCGTGTGGTGTGGTACCATTGCCTAGAAGGACCTGCACAGCTCGAGCATTGGTTGAAGCGATGAGCAAAGGCCACGAACAGCAGCCACATTATACACAGAGAGATAAAGGCCGAGATTGACACCGAGACCAAGTCTGCGGCCGAAGACTGCGGCCAAAGCTCAATGATAAAAAAAACGTCAATACACAGATGACCAAGCGCCTGGGCTTGTACATCGGAAGCATGAACAGCTCTTGAGACTTACGTCCAGCATGTCGCGACCATCGTAAATGCGATCAGAGGGCAGCGGCACTCCGGCTAAGCGACTAATGGTCGGGACAAAGTCCAAGCTTGAAACCATTTCTGGAGTGCGCGTGGTGGCTGGCACAACATTGGGCCAGTAGGCAAAAGCGGGCATGCGGATGCCACCTTCCCAGGTGCTTCCCTAGAATTCACACATCGGTGAATGCGGCATTCAGTAGGGAGGCAGGTGAGCAACACGCTGATTCACCGCGCGGATGGTTTTTGACAAGAGATAGTTGGCCTGGCATGGTGCGGCTTACCTTGCCCGTGTTCCAATAATTGGAGGTGCGGCCAGTGAAAAGGCCTTCACTGCCAGCGCTGGCATTCTGGATCATCCAGGGACCGTTGTCCGAGGCGAAGAGCACCAGAGTATTGTTTTCCAGGCCTTGTTCCTTCAATGTGGACATGATCTCGCCCACTTGCCAGTCAACTTCGGCAAGGGCGTCGCCAAACATACCGCGGCGAGACGTGTTCTTGAACTGACAGCCTGCATATTGCTTTTCGGGCTGATTGGCGGCTGTGGTATGCACATGGCTGTCAAGGCGAGTGAGTTTTAGGCTGCTGGACGACATCGCGGCCAAAGTCGAGTGGGGCGAGACAGCCATGTCACACCTGAAAGGCATGTAGAGGAAGAAAGGATTCTCTTTGTTATCTTTGATGAATGTCTATGCACCTCCGCCCCCCACCCCCACAATGGTGCTAGAGTCAGAAGAAGCGAGGCGTGCCTGACGGAGAATTCGGGAATCGTCGAGTGGCCTCACCGTGGCAAAGTCCGAGTAATGCTGGGCCAAGGCGGAAAAGTCCAGTGGCTGTTCAAGAATGGTGGTGTTGGTGGTTTTGCCATCGCCCATTTGCTTGACGAGAGGCAAGTAGTCACCTGCGGGGTCACTCTTCAGACCGGCTGCACCGGGCTCGAGAAACCCGCTAGCAAGATATTGCTCCTCGTTCGTGGGCAACAGTGTTAGGTTGAGATGTGCTTCACATGAAGGGCGAAGGACATCGGGAAGTTGTTGACAGGGCGTGGCACGAGCCTCGCCCATATCATCAGAGTAAGGGATGCCCAAATAGCGATCAAAGCCACGGGCACCTGGCAAGTACATGGAGCGCTGGCCCAGGCTGGGAAGACAAACAGCGGTGGGAGTGTGGTGAGTACACTCTGTCCATCACCTCTGCTTTTGTTTTGACCCCAAAACTGGAAGCGAGACACGGAGCAAAGAAAACTAAAACAAACAAGACACGCTGCACATTGGGGGTGAATGCATGCACGTACTGCCATTTGCCGACAATGGCTGTGGCATAGTTGGCTTGCTTGAGCTGCTGAGCAGCAGTGGTTTCGTTCAGGGGAAGTCCTGTATTGCCAGTGGGGGAGAACACACCGGGTACACCGATGCGCTGAAGCAGAGGGTCACGGGGCCAAGGCGTCGCAACATCGCAAGAGATCATTGGTGAGGTCAATGCCTCGCCAGAGTGGGCACAGACATTTTACGGCGTATTCTCCTCTAGCCAGTGTCTCGTGGCAAGGGCAACTGCGGGAGGGGATCGGGGATCGGGGTGCGTACCGCAAACTGACGACCCGTCATGAGGGCAGCTCGAGACCCGGAGCACACGGGGCATCCGCTGTACCATGTCGAGAGTACGCGGCCGCCGTGTGCCAGCGCATCGATGTTTGGCGTCTGCGTAGTTGGGTGGCCAGTGAAGCCTGCGGTGGGAGCCAATTCGGCACGCAAGTCCAAACATGAGCAGGCAATCAGTGACCACCAGCACCAGGGTAGTATGCGTGGCTGTGAGGGTAGCAACTCGACGAGGAACAACGTCCGACGCCACCAACCCAAGTCGCCGTAGCCGAGATCATCTACAAACAGCATGACTGCAACCGTTGCCCGTGAGCATCAGCACCCAATCCGCTGAGCTTGATTTCAACAGCCCAGCACGCAGCGACCAGCAGCCATCCAACGCCACGCACCAATGTTGGGCTTGTCCATCGGTGCTCGCAATGCACCAGTCATGACCACAAGCAGGGCCAAGCCCAGGGCCAATCCCAGTGACGGCCGGATCGCTGCCATTTTTTACTCTCTGTCTCTTCTTTACGTCGCGTTTTCACTGATTTGTTTGTGTTTGATCAAGACCCAATTTGTCTGACAAAACGCTTGGGGTTGGTCGTACTTTTGGATCGACCGTATGTGTGTTCTTAGGCGTGCGCAGTCGTGCGCAGTCGTGCGCAAGTCGTGCGCGTGAGTCTGCCACTTGGCTTCTTGTTTGGATTTAGAACCCTCTCTGATAGAGTCTAATTTGTAATTTGTAGTGTGATATCGGACGGAGGGTGGTGCTAGAAAAGGATTGGATTCAAAGTACAAGACTCAATAATGGCTAAACAGCCAATACTGTTCTCGAGTCGGCTGTCGGCGGACGCTCAAGGTTTGGAAGCTGGTTGGTGTAGAAATTGGGCCAGGGCGGCCTGGACCCGGCTCACGTTGCGAAAGTTGTGGGATTGCAGGTAATCGATGATTTGTTTTGAAAGCTCAGAGGGCAGGTTGAGCTTCCAACCGCCCTCCGGCTCATCGCAAGCGTTGATGGTGGGCACGCCACTAATGCGGCCTGCCGTCTCTGAAAACGCAGACCATTTGCTCGTCAAGAGCTTTGAAGTCTGCGTGAGCAAGATCAAATCGGCAGCGGCAAACTGCATGCAGCGAGCCGTCCGCTCTGTGCACTCATTTGAATCACTGTAAAAGACGCGGGAAGCAAACTCCTTGTCCTCCTTGAAAGCACGGTAGGCAGCAGGCGAGTCTGCACTGATGAAAAAAGTCGTGGATTGTGGGAATGTCTGCATCATTTCGCGAAAGTAACGATAGTGACACGACACGCGAAAAGCTGTGGCCAGTTCCATTCGCAAGGCCTCCCCGCCCGAAAGGCCAGGCGTGTCGCGGGCCACAGAGTGTACCATTCGGATGTGGGCCCCTACCATGCGACGTTGCGCGGCCGGCCCGGCTGCCCCCGAGGGCGTCTTGGGTAGCGTCGCATAGTAAGTATCCAACACACGCTGCACGGGCGGGGCTGGCTGTTGAATAAGCTCACGCATGGCCAGCACGTTGGCAATGCCGTACCCCATTTTGGAGTTGATCTGAAAAGCGCTTCGCACATATATGTGGCTCGTAATCCGCCCATCGACGTTGCGCGTTTTTTGCGCAGGATCCATCAAATCAAACTGTTGGAAATGGCCGCTCAGATGCGTCTTGCGCAAGAGCTCACGGAGCGGCTCGCCATTCACCAGCACGTGTATGCCCACGGGTTGTTCAAACAAGTCATTCATGGGCGCTTGGCAGTGTGCATCCAGCTCCCACAGTACCACGAGGAAGCGCCCCGAGCCATCGGCAATGGCTTTGGCCGAGCCATACGCTCGAAGACGGTTCGTTAGCCCGTACTGGGTATCCAGGACAAAAGCTAAACGCTGCGCAGAAGGCATGAACATCTTGGCCAGCGTGAAGAGGATTCCACGATCCGTGATGCGGCGCACATAGTCTTGGCCCAGACCCCCTCCATCCTTTTCAACGGGGGCGGAGAGAATGATTTGCAGCGCAGCGCCTTCGGCCGGAGATAGGCTCTGGTGCGTGGGCTGTGGGAGCCTGGGGTTTATGAGCATGGCTCGCACCTTGGTCAGCGCACGGTCCAAGATGCGAAACCTGTGCCAAAAGCAAAGGCCAGAGTGCAGTCGTGTCAGTCGTGCATGTGCAAGTCAGTCGCAACATGCGAGCAAGTATTCCAACCCTGTCTTTTGAACGACACCTGTTCAATTATGGGCAAAGCAACGAGCTGTTCGTACCGAGCACCACGGTAGTGGATGGGGTCCAAGACCTCACGAGGTGGCAGCTGATCCCCGTCCAGGATACGAAGCATGGCTGGCTTGGGTTGAGAAAGCTCGGGGACTTGGTCGTGCGTGAGATTGAGGATGAGGAGCTTGTTGGCTGGAGGCAGAGCAAAGGGATCAAAATGGCGCGCCTTGAGGCGCTTGAGGTCTCGAGCCGTGATAAGGGGCACCTCAAGGCGTTCGCGCAGGTAGCCCAACCATTGTACTTTAATGTTCGTGCCCGCCGCATCGATGCGGGGCGTGGTGAGCGACAGGTGCTCGGGGAGATTGATGGCAATGAGCACAAGACTTTCCTCCCACATGTAGCGCTGGAGGAATTTTTTGGCGCTGCGTTGAGCATCCCAAGTGTTGCTCCAAGCGTTGGGCACGTACGGATCCTTGTTTTGATTGTGCAGGTACCACTTGAGGTACTGGCGATAAGGACCAGGTGCAAAGACTGTACCCCAGCTACAGGGCTCCTGAATCTTGAAGGGGGCAAAGTTGTTCAGGATTGGGCGCTCATAGCGTTGATTGACCTCATCCCACTTTTGGTTATAAAGCTTGTAGCCCATCACGCTGGGGTCTGGGTTGGAGGCCAGACCATACGTCGCGATAAACCGTTCAGCAAAAGTGAAGATCAGCTCTGAGACCTCAATGTCATCTTCAAGGAACATGGCAAATTCACCATCCATGGGGGTCCAGGCCTCGAGCATGGTGGCGCGGAGGCCATGACTGCCGGTCGCAAAGATGGTGGCTACGGGCCCGTGCTTGGTCCTGGTGCCCGACAGGGCATGGGCAGTCGCGACCGTCTGCAGCCATTCAGTGCTATTGAGGGGGTCGAAATCCACGTGCAGGACAAAATGCACGTCCAGGGTCTGTGCAGGTTGGGCCCTATGCAAAGAAGACCACAGTCGCTCAAAGTGCTCGGGTCGATCAAACGCAAAGCAATGCACAGCCAAACGCGGGCGCCATGAGGTAGTTCCAGAGTCGGTACCAGCTCTCTCGCTACCAGAGTTGTCCACAACATCGGCGTTTGTTCGGCTCAATCTCGAGTCTTCGACCTGCGCATGGGAAGCAAAGACAGGGGCGGTACGAGCGGGCTTGTGAGGCTGTGTGACGGCGGGCTGCAGAACAGCGTGACGTGCTGAGGGAGGAAACGGCAATCAAGCGTGGCACAGACCGAGTGACCCAGTCTCTGGTTCTCTAGGGCAAATCGCCGAGCAATGGTGAGGTGTTCCCAGAAGACAACCAGAGCAACGGCCAGGGCCAGGGCCAAGCCAAGGCCACGAGCGGCGTAGGGCGTAAACCATGTCATGGCAACAGAGGCACAGCGGGTTCACACCCGACTGGGAGATGGGCACGTGGGGCCACTACAACATCAAGTCCCAAGAGTCAGGCAGCATTCTTGGCGGGTGCGCACATCAACCTCGATTCAGCTGGCCGAAGGAGATGAGGGCGTTCTTCTGTTCACACGTCCACTCGAGCGTGGATGACGGATCACAGTGGCTTGGTGCACTCACAACGGCCAGGGCTTGAGCCGTCCAAGTGGCCAGGCCTGTTCTCAATAGAATTATTATGATGATAAAATGAGGGGTTTGATCCACGGGCCTGTGTGAGCTGACTGTTGCGCCGCCCGAGGTGCTTGACGGCCAGCACCGTCTCATGAACATTCCATGCACGCATGCATTATCAAGGAAGGAAAAACAAAAGAAGAAGCAGAAGAACTTGGGAAGCGAAAAAAGGAAAAATTTGTAAAGAGGCAATATCCAATTTCAAAAAGGCAGTCGGGTGTCCATTGGAGAGACACGGTGGCTAGATCAGATCAGTTAAAGTTGGGCTCGGTCAACTCGCAAAGAGGGTAGAGTTTCCAGTGGTGGTGCTGGCGCTAGTTGGCCATGGCAAAGCGGACAGCAGCGGAGCCCGAGCTCAGTGTTTGGTGAGATACAAAATAGTGCTCAACGGGCAAGGTTTGACCGTCAACGGAAACCGTGGCCACGGCTCGCGCGGCCGCGCTCCAGTTGGTAGCTTCAAGCGTCAGAGGCCCTCGCGAGAGATGGACGGTGACGTTGTTGAAGAAGGGCGATCCGATAAAGTACTCCGCAGAGCCGGCCCGGGGATAAAAGCCCAGCATGGAGAATACCAACCAGGAGCTCAAGGCCCCGTAGTCATCGTTGCCTATGGAATTCGCACACACCACAAGTCAACACATCAGCAGACTTGAGGTTAGCCCAACGTCTGGGTAAGGTAAAAGGTCACGCAACGATGGCGGTAGACCGTACCGGGGATGCCGTTCGGGGCCACAGGATAGTACTGGTCCACAATCAGATGCACGTATTTTTGCGTCAAGTCAGGGCGTCCGGCCGCGTTGGCCACATAGAGCGTCATCAGACCGGGCTCATTGCCTGCCAAACAGACGAGCAACGTCACCGCCGCATGGTGCCACGAGCGCAAGTTCTTGCTTCGGAAATAATAAAAGCCTGTACCGACGCCACGTACCGGGCCAGTAATTCGGGTTGGGCAGGTCAGTGCTGTTGTAGCGGAAGGTATCAATCAAAAACTTTTCAAGCTCCTGCGTTTTTCCGCAGAAGATCCCGTGAAGAAAGATCACAAAGAAGTTCTGTGCAGCCATGTTGCGACCGCCGGGATGCTTCAAACTTGGCGACCCACCTTAACAAACGTATCATTGGAACCATAGAGCTCGACCAGGCCCGTTAAGTTGTGAGGCACAAACCAGCGCCACTCGGCCGCATCGCCCTCACAAAAGCCGTCCTCTTCATTGAAGAGCCAGGATTGAAAGCTCGGGTCTCGGACGCAGCTGTGCACAGGTATTGCAGATGGCGCCAGGATGAGATTTGCAAGTGCCAATGGCACGGCAGAGCTGCGCGGCCTGGTTTGGGCAACTCACTCGACTTCATCGCTGGCATTCTTGCGCTGACAAAAATAGCCTTTGTCAGTGCTAAAAATGTGGCGAAAATTGGCGCTGCGTTCTTGGAACTGACTGGCGTTCTTTTGAACCCCGCAACAAGACTCCAAGTCAGCTTGGACGCATGCAACTCACTTCAAAATCCAAGCGGCAACATTTGTTGACTTACCGCCTGGTCATCCAGGTAGCGGGCTACTTCCGCGATACAAGAGTCGTCATATGAGAAGGCCAAAGTGATCGAGGCAGCCTTGGTACTTGCTTCCTCAGGTACATAGCTGCAAAGTAGGTGAGGGGAGTAGGCAGGTACCCCGTAGTTCTGTCAGCAATATTCCACGGCAAGCGCGTTGGACATTGACAGGGCTCGCCTGAGAGTCAGCAAGGGACAGGATAGACACACCCTTGGCGGACGTAGTCTTCGAGGTCCGTCCATCCACTATGTGGTCGCTGAGCCTGGGTTGCCTACAAGCAGAATATTCGGGTGGTGAGATACGGGTGGATAGGGAAGGGGCGTTCGACCAAGAGGGAGAGGATTAGGGGCTCAAGGATAGATAGTCACCTGGAGGTACATGGCTTCAAAGGCCGTGTGCACGTCGAAATCAGTCAGGTTCTTGGACACGGCGTCGGCAATCATGACGTCTGCATGCGAACCAATCTGCATGATATCAGTGGGGGCAAGCAGCACCGCCCTTTGGAATAAGCTGATGATCGTGGCAACGACGGCAGTAAAACCGCCGGGCTGCGGCACACCGGCGCACTGTCACACACCATGCAGCCTGTATACACATTGCACAGTGGCCAGCGTGGCAAATCTCCTCCATCACGGTACATGAGCAGAAGTGATCGAATCACGTCGGTGGCTTGATCCGGCACGAGCAAGGCCATCAGCGGAAACTATTTTCCGGCAGCGGGCATTGTACTTAGGTCTTCCACATTGCACGACCACCTTGGCTTTCTGCCAGTCACACGGACCCGAACCAACGAGGGACACCCACAAGGGAGCGCAAAGGCGTGAACGCGGCTGACCTGGCTACGATGCGTATCCCAAATGGACATGTCCGTGTACATGGCGCCCATGCCGGCGGGCAATTGGTGCAGCTGGTTATCCATGCCCAGATAGTAGCCGCCTTCTTCACTCCACTGGGTGGGTGCTTGGAAGCTATGATAGATGGCTGTGTAGAACTTGGTCAAGCGGTCGTGAATTTCGCCGCTGGTGGCGTCGGTATGGACCTCCACCTGTCCAAAAGAGAGAGCGGCGGGCCACATGAGGGCCTGTGCCACAGACGCCGACAGGTGGGGGTTGTGCCGGGATACCCACCTTGCCGAGCAGGTCAGCCCAGAGTTGGTGGCTGGTAGCGCGACAGCTAGTGAATGACTGATTGGCGGCTTGTCGGGCAAAGTTTGTCTTGGCCTAAGACCAGGACGAGGACAGCAAAGTGTGGTGGGCTAAGCGTGGAGCCGTGAATGGCAGCAAAGGCGAAACGGCCAGCTACCTGATCTATGCTGATGTAGCTGATTGCAATGGCAATATCTGCGGTGCCAGTGACCTGGAAAAGGCCCGGGGGTCAAGATCAAAACCGTGAGCGTGGGAATACTTGAGCGCATACACTGAAGATGATTCCGCGCCCGCACCTCAAAGACAGCACCGACGTCGGCGCCGCTGATGGTGCCAACTGCCTGTAGCTGCCGCTGTGACGTGTTCCAAAGACCTGCTACTGTCAGGCTATCGGAGGCTGTGATTTGCATGGTGTAGCATAAGGTCACGCCTTTGCCGTTGCGACCCGACAAGCCGCCATCGTTCAGGAGACAGCCCTCAACCTAAGGACGTGGCGAGTCACCATGGATGGACATCGTGGCAGTGGACAAGCATGCGGCAGGAATGGGATTTCAGTGATTCAAAACGGACAGAGTAGACAGAACAAGGCACGACCGATCAGGCACACCCGGTGTGGCAGAGGAGTGAGCGTTGATACAGGCTTCCCTAATTTGGCAGGGATAAAAAAAAAAAAAAATTGGGCTGGAAGCAGGTGAAACTCACGTTGAGGACTGCTGGGCTCAGGGTAGGGTTTGCCGATATGGTGACATTGCCATCCTTGACGGCACCATCAGAGAGTGCGTGGGCCAGGTCGAGGACGATGCTGTACGTATTGTTTGTGTTGGGCAAAGGGGCATAGTGATGCCAGCCCGCATGTGAGCCGCAGGCCGTCAGTGAGGCGTTAATGTCCGAATCCTATTAAGGCACGGCACAGGAAATCCAGGCCACAGGAAAGCACAAGCGAGAAAGAATGAGAGTGTCGCAGCCAACTCTACTGGTTTTTTTAAATTGTCTTTTACATTTTATCAATAAGCACCTTCAGAGGGTATGCCCATCGGACATCGGGGTGCCTACCTGCAAAAGCACGCTATAGTAGCCCGGTTGAAGGATCTCATGGTCGTGGGAGAAGCGTGACCCATAGAGGTAGTGAAGCAACGAATCGGGCATGCGGCCGCGGGTCGGCATCAAGCCAAGGTTGCCTGAGCAAAAGGAGCAAACAAGTTCAGGACCGGTCATCGGGAGCGAGTCTGGCTGAAACCGAGGTACTTCGTCCACTGAGCTGCTTTCCACGTACCAAGATCAGCCACGCCGGGGCCAACCATATGGGTGTGGGAGAAGGTTCGGATGTACGTGTCGTTGAAATGATAACCTCCATAGTGTTGAAAATCGAGCCAGACGTCATCGGCATAGGCTGTATCTGGGGAGAGGCGCATGTTACCAAAGGGCACTTGGGGCCCGGGTGGATTACCACCCACCCCAAAGCCAAAACCTAGGTTCGAGGCGCGAGAGCATGATTGGACGACGCCGGGCTGGGAGGCGGGAGCGGCCTCGTCAATGCGGGAACCCACCACCCGTGCCAATGTAGAGGTCGACGAGGTCAGTCGGCTGCCAAGCCGTTGTGCCCGGCCATTCTTGAGCCAGCAAAAGCCCGCAGGCCACAACGTAGAGCTGAACCGTGCGCTGCCACATCCCGATCGGCGAGGCCTGCACGTAACGCCCGGCACGTGTTGAGCCAAGCCAGCAGATGAGCTGAGAGCGCATTCCGTT